TGCTACCTTAATTCTTTGCGAGGAGAAAACATGCCCTACTTCAAAAGTAATTCTTTGATGCTAACTGGATAAAGTTCAGTCGCTCTCTAACTTTTCTCTTAAGCACTTGTACAGAGTTTTAGCTGGAACAGAAAAAGTGCAACAAGTTGAAGCAAAATTACGCTAACATTTCTAAGATTTCCAACTAAACTTCAATGTCCCTGGATCCTTATTTTGCAACACATTTCAGTTACTCGACATCCACAATAGTCCACCTCTAGCTTGCTAATGTCATATCAGCATAGGTTCTTAAATAAAGTCTTCAGGTTGCTCATACAGCTCCTCTAAAAATTTTTTTCAAATAACTGTCACTTTTGAAGACACCTTAAATCCCTCAGTGTTGGAGAAATCACGAACACCACAGAAGCTACACTACTTTTTTCAAGGTTTGCATTCCTAAAAATGCAGCAGTTTCAGTTCCCTCGAAATCTATACTGTCGTACATCATAACGTAGCACAATCATCGCAGGACCACTAATACGATCAATGCACCGCTTTTCATTCAGCTTTTTTATCACTTTCAACTCGATGCTGAATAGACACTCTTAAAGATGATAAAGACATTGATGCTGAACAGTTCTGACGAGCTCGATGGAAATCTTTGGCTCATGTAAAATAATCAAAGTTTATGCTAACGTTAATGTCAGATTGAATTTGCTGTACAAGGGTACCAAATTCAAAACTACCGATGCCAAAAATAACTCTATCTTGCCGTCTGCTCTTCGCCATTCAAAAACATACTTTCGATTTATCCATCCATTCTTGCTTTTGTACTACTCTTTCTGCTGGTCAAACTTCACAACTTCGTCAATCTTTTAAACAGAAAATTTGTTCATCTTCTTTTCATCTACAAACTGAAATATTTACGAGAGCAAACAGTTAAAAAAAATAAACAAAGAATATTTGTTGACAACTTTAGGCTTCAATCTGACAAACCTATCATTATATTCTACTTCTTCAAGCCAAACATCAAATCAGCCTATTCTCTTCCAGTGACTTAAGATGTGATGCTGCTGCTGTTTTGTTTTACCAACTCGGAAAAGCACTACAATAGAGCAAATGTTTTTCAATGTTTTTCCCTTCCCCTCTTCTTCTGTTGGCTAAACAGCAAGAAAAATTTGAAGAAAAAACCCAAAGATCAAAAAAAAAGCGACAACTAGTCATCGCAAACAGCAACCACATAGAGTGAATAAAAACATCGATAGATTAGCTACAAAAAAAATCTTTTTTTATAACAGCATATTACGCAAAAAAAATGGCTGAACTGAAGCATCACATATCATTCAACGGCAGATAAATCTCCGCGGCAACCTTATCA